GTTTTAAAGTGGCAGTATTGTTTGTATTTCAGATCAATTGTATAATTATCACACGTTAGTGTGCTTGTTCACTAGTATTTAATTATCAGACGTTAGTGTGCTTGCTCACTATTATATAATTATCAGACGTTAGTGTGCTTGCTCACTATTATATAATTATCACGCGTTAGTGTGCTTGTTCACTATTATATAATTATCACGCGTTAGTGTGCTTGTTCACTGTTATATAATTATCGCACGTTAGTGTGTGTTTGTTCACTATTATATAATTATTGCACGTTAGTGTGCTTGTTCACTATTATATAATTATCACACGTTAGTGTGCTTGTTCACTATTATATAATTATCGCACATTAGTGTGCTTGTTCACTATTATATAATTATCAGAAGTTAGTGTGCTTGTTCACCGTTATATAATTATCGCACGTTAGTGTGCTTGTTCACTATTATATAATTATCACACGTTAGTGTGCTTGTTCACTGTTATATAATTATCATACGTTAGTGTGCTTGTTCACTATTATATAATTATCACACGTTAGTGTGTTTGTACACTATTATATGATTATCACACGTTAGTGTTTTTCATCATATGTTTGTACACTATTATATGATTATCACACGTTAGTGTTTTTTCATCATATGTTTGTACACTATTATATAATTTCGTTGAATATAAATCACGGATAGCAAATATCCCCCCTCCCCCCACAAACACTATGGTTAGTTTGGAGGTAGGGGAAGCACAAGATATAATAAGCTATATTTCCTCTCGATACCTCTGAAGACAACTCATCACGAGCACACATTCTGGCCCACTGTTAACCTGGGTTTTACACCGTTTACTAAGAAATCGGCTTGGCCATCTAGGGTTAATGCTGACACATCAAGATGCCGAGATGAAACACGACATTTTATCTACAGCGCAGAATTCCATTCTTGATGGCTATCTCTCCACTAAAACTTTTCTACAAATTGAAGGGTTCTCGGAAGAGCCAGAGTTATGTGTAAATGGAAGGTCTCGAACGTGGCTAATCAATACGATACGGTAGTACATCCAGAACACCGCAGCTGCCTTGCTATTGTTCTTGGATGATGGACATTGATTATATGCTGGAGGAACCGTCTTATCTTCTTATTCCTATATCCCTTCTCTTTTCTCTACAACAGCTCATTCCAGAAACATTGCTTACCTTGCATAGTATACTTATTAATTTTGTCAAATCACAGTAGTTGTTTTAATTTCATAAGCATGCGTATATATATATATATATTTCTAGTTTTTCAAGCGATATTTGTACCAAGATCTATAGATAACTACCAATTATAATATAAAATGGGGACCCCCCAGCGGCACAGCGGTATGTCTGCGGACTTACAACGTTAGAATCCGGGTTTCGATAGCCGTGGTGAGCAGAGCACAGATAGCCCATTGTGTAGCTTTGTGCTTAATTATAAACTAAACAAACCAAATATATAAAATGAGAGAGACTCAAAGTTGATTTTTTTTCCACATTGCGCTCTAGTTTTGAATCCCTCCCCCCACTTTTCCTTTTTATTTCTAACATTACACTCCAGTTGTCGTTGTCTGTACAGTATGATTTTCATTTTTCCTTTTTATTTTCTAACATTACAAAGGAAAAATGGAAAATCATACTGTACGGACAACGACAACCGGAGTGTAATGTTAGAAAGTAAAAAGGAAAATCATACTGTACAGACAACGACAACTGGAGTTTTATTTTCTAACATTCCACTCCAGTTGTCGTTGTCTGTACAGTATGATTTTCCATTTTTCCTTTTTATTTTCTAACATTACACTCCAGTTGTCGTAGTCTGTACAGTATGATTTTCCATTTTTCCATTTTATTTCAGTACATTGTTATCTAAAAAGTTTGCTCTTTCCAATTTTTGTTTTTATTTTGTTAAGTTGCACTCGGATTTCTCTAGTCTAGAAGCGCCTCTGCCTTTTACATTCTCTCAAACTGTTTCAATGGAGTCATTTCAAACTAAACAACGTACTGTGTGTGTGTGTGTGTGTGTGTATAATACTGTAGCTAAGCTTGTAACCTGCTAATGACAGTGAAAGGTCTTATATCAAAATCACAACACGCCAGTCTCTCCTTGACCTGCCACAACTCCTGCTCTGGAGTGTCTGTAACACCATAAAGTTTCCGGGATATGAACAAACAAAAATTAAATATTCGATACCTTAATTAAATTTAGGCATTATTCTTCATTCCTAGAATTTCATCAGAAGTAAGAAATTAAGCAGAGTTAAAAGTCTGTGGATTTTAATCACTGGTGTCGTGCCCATAAGCAATTACTCTTACAAATGAAAACATCGCCATTTTGAAAATGAGCGGCACTAGTGTCACCTGGCGATTGATATGTTAAGCAGTTCAATTATTTTAAAGTATTTTCTTCTCGGCTTACCACACGTATGAAGTTTAAAAAAAAAACTAAGTGCATTATTTGTTGATGACTTCAATAATTTTGTGGGTACACAAAAGTACAATAATAATAAAAAATGTTCAATAAATACGTAAAACCATTTATTAATTGCGGGAAGTTTGTGTGTGTTGGTTTGAATTATGTACCCGTTAAGAGTTTTTAGGATTTTTTAGGGACGTGTAATCATATGGTCAAGGCTCCTGCACTTCAATGAATTCCGCGGGTTCGAATCCCTGTCACACCAAACATGCTCGCCCTTTCAGCCGTGGGGGCGTTATAATGTGACGGTCAATCCCACTATTCGTTGGTAAAAGAGTGGCCCAAGAGTTGGCGGTGGGTGGTGATGACTAGCTGCCTTCCCTCTAGTCTAACACTGCTAAATTAGGGACGGCTAGCGCAGATAGGCCTCGTGTAGCTTTGCGCGAAATTCAAAAACAAACAAACAAACAAACTTAAATGAATTCAAACTCTATTTCTCCCTTTAGGTTATATATATATTGTACATAATACATTTATAATTCCAATTACCCTTACACCAAACATCATGTATCACCGTCAATTAATCACTCAAATATTAATACGTTAACTACAACATGAAACTACCGTTTGTCTAAGATTACAAGATAGGTTATTATAGCCTTACAAAAAAAACTCATTCAAACTATTTCATTAAAATTAACTGGGTAACTTGATAATTTTCTAATCCATAGACGAGCCAGTAATGATATACAAGAAGCACACACACAGAGTCACTAACATTATTCGGTTTTCAACATGTCATTGCTTGTACATGTACCTCAGTAAATGTCCATCTCTCCGTTTTGTATTCTGCCAAGGGGAGTCTTCATATCGATACGCTTTACGAATCAAAGGAGCACAGGAGCAACTGAGTTTGTTTCCCATGGTTCTTAACTCACAGCTGCTCCCTGGAGCTCGGTAGGAGGAAGAGCCTTTGTTGACAGCCGCTGTTCGCCAAGATTTCCATCTTCTTGTCAATGTTGCCAAGAATTATCCTGTTAAAAAAGGGGGTATGTAAAGGATCCAATAATACAAAATAACATATTTTGGGTTAATTTTAAGAGTTTCTTCTGTCTGCTGAAATCACTCCAACGAACGATTTTGCGATACGTATTTTTTATTAACAAACACATAAAAATGTACAATAAATCCCACTAGGTCTTTGGTTACCAGTTAACCTCTCCAACAATTCTGTAATACTGTATTTTAAACACAAGCACATAAAAATGTACAATAAATCCAGCCAACGTCAGCGTTGCAAGAATTAAAACAACCAGCTCCTACTGCTGGTTCCAGCCAACGTTAGCGTTGCAAGAATTAAAATAACCAGCTCCTACTGCTGGTTCCAGCCAACGTCAGCGTTGCAAGAATTAATACAATAAGCTCCTACTGCTGGTTACAGCCAACGTCAGTGTTGCAAGAATTAATACAACCAGCTCCTACTGCTGGTTCCAGCCAACGTCAGCGTTGCAAGAATTAATACAATAAGCTCCTACTGCTGGTTACAGCCAACGTTAGCGTTGCAAGAATTAAAACAACCAGCTCCTACTGCTGGTTCCAGCCAACGTTAGCGTTGCAAGAATTAAAACAACCAGCTCCTATTGCTCGTTCCAGGATTCTCAAGAAACGATAATCAACAAGGAAAGAAATGACCAGGAGTCGAAATCTGTTTACAACTCTATATGTTACATTCCTATGTGTCGAACAGCGACTATTGCTCGTGGTTTCATTATAGAGGGCGCGACAAAAGTGTCACCCCCTAGTGGAATACCTTGTTTCTCTGTTTTAGGTGTAAAAGGTCGAAATGTATTTAGTAGGGTTTTGGAGAGGAAGGGGGATGCGCATAACCCACATCTGGTGGGTTCAAAGTTACAATACAGATGGCAGAGGTTAGTCTCAAGTCTGAAGACTCGTTAAAAAGGAAAGTAACGAGCAGGAAATCAGCAGCTTTCCTTCAACACGTTAGCAGCCAATCTTCGAATCCGAATAATTGGTTGAGTAAAACTTAGTGATAAAAACAAAGTTATTTCTGTGATACGTAATAAACTACATTCTTCAAAACTCCTCTGTACATTCCAAGGTGGACTTTCAGTGAGTAAGTAGATGTTAAAATAACTTTAACACTTTCAACCTCAATGGCACACACACGGACTACTCTCAATCGAATAGAAAGATTGACTGTCACTCATAAAGTACCACGTGGGCTCGACCCTTGAACCTTCCGATACGTATCCCTGAATGTTATTCACTGGACCATACCCATTTATAATAGTTATTCATTTTGGGGTATTCACGCAAAGCTACCAAAGACCAATCTGAGCGAGCCCTAACTTTGAAATGACAGACTAGACGACAGCTCTTGGACTAAATTAATCGAATAGTGGGGTTTCACTGTTGCTCTTGGAACACAGTCACAGACCAAAGTGTAGAGTTTGCAGCAGTGGGCTGTGAACACGGGGCACCCCGGATTCACGTATCAGTACGCTAACTACTAGGACACGCCCGGTCCCGTTATAATATAGCATCAATGTTTTGAGCGATGCTGTTCGCGACTCTAAAGTAAAACCTGACACTTAAAACTCATACAGATTAAAAGTACAGCATGTTTCGGTCGGTAATAGATACTTCTGAAAACGAAAACCATCGCTTCCTCTAATGCCAACACAGTTGCACACAACTAGTCAAATGGAGTGTGACAACCTTCAAACCTGCACATTCGAATTAAATACGACTCTGACCTCTTGACATTTGAAGTGTATACAAATAAAGGTAAAGGAAGAATGACTAAGACTACGGTCTATTACGACCGAAACGTCGAAGGAAACGGCGAAAGTATGACGTTTAAAGTTGACTGTGATACAAATGACGGTCGGTTAAGGATCAAACATACACTTCCAAACGTGTTCTTTCGAAGAACAAACCCAGTACACCGCTACCTAAATATGCTTAGTCACTGTTTCTCAGAAGTATCACGTATTGACACACCCTGCTTGTAGTTAGCCATCGTTACCTAGACAAAGAAGCTTCACGTATTGACAAACAATATAAACACTCTCTACTTGTAGTTAGCCATCGTTACCTAGACAAAGAAGCTTCACGTATTGATAAACAATACAAACACACTCAACTTGCAGTTAGACATCGTTACCTAGACAAAGAAGCTTCACGTATTGACAAACAATATAAACACTCTCTACTTGTAGTTAGACATCGTTACCTAGACAAAGAAGCTTCACGTATTAACAAATATTATAAACACTCCCTACGTCATCGTTACCTAGACAAAGAAGCTTCACGTATTAACAAATATTATAAACACTCCCTACGTCATCGTTTCCTAGACAAAGAAGCTTCACGTATTACAAACATGCAAATCAATGAATAAAAAACATCCGCTCTTTTCACTCGTATAAATCTGAACATGTTCGCGTCCAAACGCAGTAATTATTCCACTGTCTTCCACGTTCATCAACTGAGGATTATTTTCTTTGAGTCTGGAATCTAATTATCTCTATTAAGCACTGCGTCTCTGAATCGGTTTATCTCGACGAGTCACTCTTTTAACCCATTATTGTCTTAGTATATACATCTCTAAAGATACGCGAGAACTTTCTGGAATGTGCGACACAGATGCGCGACACTTAAAATATAAATAATAGGGAAAAAGAATGATTTTATTAAAAAAAAAATTCAGGATTATAGAGGGGGGGGGGTGGCTGCCCCCTTGCCTCTATGAGCAGACGGCCGTGATATTAGTAATATTAGGACTACTGATACAATTCTAGTTAAAACTACACCTTTATCTAGTAATATATACATCTGCGACGGAATATTTCGTATTTAAAGGGGTCTTCCTTTTATATTAATTGGGAGGAATGATTTTAAAGGGGTCTTCCTTTTATATTAATTGGGAGGAATGATTTTGTTTCGACGAGGACTCATAATTAGGTTATATAGTGTTTGTTTGTTTTGATATTCGCGCAAACCCTACACAAGGTCATCTGAGCTAGCCGTCCATAATTTGACGCCCCCCATGGCACAATGCGGACGTACAAAGCTGGAAACCGGGTTTCGATACACGTGGTGGGTACAGAACAGATAGCCCATTGTGCTGTTTTGTGCTCAACTCCAAACAAATTTTGAAATCCATAAATTGAACTAGTAGACTATAGGGAAAGCAGCTATAGTCAACAGCAGTCACCGTCAAGTTTTGGACTATTTTAATCGAATCTGACCGTCATTCTTATAACGCAGCCACAGCAACGGGATACGGGCCACGGACCCACAATCCACCATGTTAGCCACTAGGCTATAGACAGCCGAGTCAGGTTCTGAATTGAACACACTTTATTGGAAGTGCTACCGTCGTGTTGGGCTTATTTTGTCTTCTTGTAAACCAAACCATCATTAAGTCTAATTGCAATCACAGTTCATTCATTGTCTTTCTTTCCTCTCTCTACTTGTAATAAATCCAAACATTACT